AATTAAATAAAAATAAAATAACATGTTGAATATTTATATCATGTTTATTAACACAATTACATAATTATCAAAAAACACTGAAACAAACGTTAATAAGAGCAAGTTAAACAGCAATGAATGCTGATGCACTTATATCATCATCATCATCATCATCACCACAATTAATACAAATCAATAGACAAATAGTACAATGTCGTTTAGCTATTTATTATGATTAGTTTTTATTTGATATTAATAATTTACAACAATTAACAAATGAATTTGATATATAATTAAATTCAACTATTGTTGCTTATCGTTTATTAATAACGTCATATGATAATGCTAAATAAATATTATTATATTTCTTTTATATACATCAGAAAATTTTATATTATCATTAAAAACGTTCATACAACAAAATATTGTACATTTATTTATAGAATTATTTCAAAGTACTATGTGGAAAACAATATTTTGCCAGGGAGTACCGCCTATAATTCCAAATAGAAGACCTAATAAACTTTATATCAAATGAAAGCTGGTTAAAAATAGGGTTTATTGGTACTAAATAGTAAAGGTTATGAAAACTTTTTAATGTCGAACTTAAAACACTTTTAGAAATTTTATACTTTTTTTGGGGTAGAAAGTTAAGGCGGCAGTAATTGTAAAATGCAATTCGATTTTTTTTCTTTGATATTTTTACATGATTCGATAGAGTTCGTCAAGCTCTACAAAACTGTATATATTAAAAATTTTTTAAGTCATTTTTTTTTCAATAAAAATTTTAAAAAACTACTTCGCAAGTCTTAAAAACACGTTAAAAACACTTTTTCTTTTTATGTGGAAGAAAAATGCTTGGTTTTTAAATAAAATTAGCTATTTCTATTATTTTTATTACCTCAGACGTTTCAAAATATACTCATTAGACGCAGTTTTTCATGCTGCATCGAATGGATATATTTTGAAACGTCTGAGATAGTAAAAAGAATGGAAATAGTTAATTTTATTTAAAAACCAAGCATTTTTCTTCTATATAAGAAAAGTTTTGTTAACGTTTATTAAGTCTTTCGAAGTAGTTTTTTAAAATTTTTATCGGAAAAAAATGACTTAAAAATTTTTTAATATATACAGTTTTGTAGAGCCCAACGAACTCTATCGAACCATATAAAGATATCAAAGAAAAAAATCGAATTCCATTTTACAATTACTGCCGCCTTAATTTTCTACCCCAAAAAAAGTATAAAATTTCTAAAAGTGTTTTAAGTTCGACATTAAAAAGTTTTCATAACCTTTACTCTTTAGTGCCAATAAACCCTATTTTTGACGAGCTTTCATTTGATATAAAATTTATTAGGTCTTTTATTTGAAATTATATGCCGTACCCCCTGGCAAAATATTATTTCCCACCTAGTACACAAAGGAGAAAAGTTGTTTTAAACAACATTATGTCATATACTTCGTACTTTAGTTTAGGATTGAAGGCAAGCGATATTTAATGACCGATGCGTTAATCATCTTCACGATCTCATAGAGCTACTGCTATCAAATGAATGAGTAATAACATTAAATGATATACTAGCTACACACATATCGAGGCATTGAGACTAACTACGGTCGTTTATGTGCTTAACTATTAAAAATCCCATTCCATACTGAAAAGGAATATTATTTGACATTGTAGTTTGAGAATAATATTTTGAAATTTTCATGTACACATTTCTACCTAATGGCAGTCTTTAACATCGATATAATAAATAAGGTTTATTCCATCAAGAAATGAGTTAAAATGACAATTATCATTTATATATACGTATATGAATCATAGATAGGAATATTTCTATAAAACGATCATCACTAAAAAGCGGATGCTTGTTTCCTAGCTTTCATGCGATCAAGAAGACTATGAGATGTAATATAATCAAAATCGAAATTATTTTCAATGATAATCATACTAAATTTTCTTTGAGAAAAGGGTCAACGAATCCGTAGGATGAATGCTACTTGTATTTTCTTTTGAAACAAAAATGACAGCAAAAGTTAAATTCACTTTTCCATTAAAACATACATTGAATATTATATTTCATGTCATTTCATGTAAAAACATAAACAAAAGAAAAAGAATTTCATTTGAATAATTTGTTTCTTTTTAAAACAAGTGAAAGAATAATCAAAATGAATCAATCATTAAAACTTCTTTCATATAATGTTTATTGATATTTGACATCCATTACTAGAATATCAGCAAATCCTAATTGAAATAGTTCAAACAAATTTGATATTATTATCATTGTTTTTATCTGTTCTTAAGTTGTTTTATATAATGCTAATTTCAATTGTGGAAAGTCCATTGATACGAAATCAGATGATTCTATTTACTGAAATCAATGTTTTGGTGCATCTCCAATGCCTTAATCATACATAGTTCATTTCCAGCAGTATGAAAATCTTGTTTAAATCTTTTATTTCAAACCTTTAGTTGAGAATTTATAAAATTCATTATAAAAAAGTTAATCAATTATATACAATAAAACATTTATTAACAATAATTTCGTGTCAAATTTGATCGTCATACAATTTCTAAAAACTAAAATAAATCTAAATCATTGAAATAGAATTTTACTAATAGAATAATAGAACTTCTTTTTCATGAAATATTTATTCTTAAAATAATACATCTATGAGAAAAATATGAATACTCATATATTAAAAGTGAATTGTTTCATCAAAAGTCTATTTTCTGTTATATGAAATATTCTCTTCTATTTAGAAATATTAGAAAAAAATATGAAGAAAAAAACTCCATGAGCCATGTTCACAATTTGCTTGTTGGTCACTCAACAGCAAAAATAGTAATCGATATACTCTCTTATGTTGTTAAAGACGGATTCTTTCTTTTCATCGTTTTCGTCTTCTCTTTTTTTTTTTCGTAAAAGAACTGTTCATCGCCGAAAAGATACGTCGCCTTATTTCTTTGATCTTCTGCTTTTTTTTTTAATGTTTTCTCCGTCCTTTCGCTCAATGTATGTAATCGATTTCATTTCAGAACAGACAAATATATGCATACTTAGTGGTTCAACAAAATAGAAACTAGGAAAATAAAATACATATTTGCAGCAAAATAATTTTCTAGTTAACCCTTTCAGTCCGAAATTTTTTTTGTTAAATTTAATTCACATAAACTGTTATATTGGCTTATTTCACACATAGAAACACATGAGATGCATAACTCACGTGCGCTTGCATGTGACTTACTTAGCAGAAGTATTATTAAATTTTGTTATACTTGGATGGAAATTTTATTGTCAAAAGTTTATTAATTGCAAAACTTATACAAGGTCTTCATGAAACGGCAAAAAACGATTTTTATTTTTATTTCGTTTCACACAAAGAGAAACGCTGTCAAGTTCACTTTCGCTTAGATCGTAAGAATCGGTTTTGTCATTAAAAGACGAGCTGCTTGTATTACACTCTTAATCAAAATCCGTTTACATTTGTTTTCAACACGACTTGCATCTTAGAGTAAGCTAGAAAGGAATTTGGTGCTTCGTTGCAATTGTATAGTAATCTTTGTAGGTGTGAATCGACTGGAGTTAGAATGTTCTCTGCTTAATTCTCCGTTTGTTTCAAACAGTGGTTATATATAGACGAATGAACGTGAAAAAAACAAAATAAACACTCTGGGAAATAAACTCACAATCACAAGAAAAATCCCAATATAACAAGAGAAGAGAAAATGCCAGGCAAATGTCAACACATCGAAAGTATATCAAGAAAGAGAACGATATGGAATATATCATGGAAGCAGGAAAGGAAAAAAGAAATGTATATAATAGCGAAACGAAAAAAGAAAAGAAAGAAGAAAACAACGTTTTGGAAACGGAAATTCTCTCTCGTATCCTAACAACTGCAAACACCGTCTTATATACTTTTTTAAAAAAAATTTCAGAATATTCCAGAATTTCTCCATGGATGACTATATATTTCCTTCACAGATAGATCGGGATGATTCTACAGCCTTCTCTGCTCTTTTGTTCCAAGAGATTACGTACTAATTTTTATAAATAATGGTGTGAAAAATAATTATAAAACATGTGTAGCATTTTTGCTACTATGGGACTGAAAGGGTTAATATAATATATTCATCTCGTCTGTCAACTACCACCTTCCTGTGTATGAACAAAACAACAATCGATGTCAAGATAGTTTACTAAAATATGTTTCCCTTGTTGTAATGTTTATTCCTATCAATGTGTATATTTCTTCTCAATATATGCACCGAAGCCTCTTCTATCTAATAGAGAAAACCGTATCTCGATATCTTTTTGCATTCGCAACATTCAAAAAATTGCACACTGAAAAAAACCGTACTATATTAGTACGGTGGACTTGAAAGGGTTAAATAGTTTCGACAAATAAATAAGTTACACGAATTAACTCTTCCAGCACCCTTTTGAGACATTCTATTTCTCGAATAAATAAGTAAAATCAATCGTTCCTATTCCTACACATGTCTCAGGATGATTTATCTAAATCAAAAATGATAAAAATAACTTTTTGTGACTCCACTCGATCATTGCTTCAACAATTTTTTTCGACGATACAACCAGATTATACACAGTTCCTACTTTTTCCAATTTTCACTTTTCAGTTTATCAAAATAAAATCGACAATACTTATTGTTTAAAAAACAACATTTTTTTCATAAAAATTTCTGAATAGATCCTTATGTTTAACTGATTTGCTCCATTTTCTAAACATAATCTAACAAATTCTGAATAACTCATTATGTGATAAACATTGCACGAAAAGTATGTTGACCTAATGACTTGACAAAAAAAAAAAAATGAATGAGAAAATAAAATTTTAGGCAGGAAGAGAAATAAATATTATTTGTTCATTATTGTTTAATATCATGCCACCAACATATATTTCTCATTGTTCTCGCAGATGACAATAAGCAAATGAAAACATATATATATATCGAGATAGTGTGTAAGAAATAATCATCATTATTAAACATGGAAAGTTCGAATAACTATAATATAAATATACTCGATTTATCTGATGAAATGTTACTTGCCATTTTAAATAAATTGAATATGGTCGATGTACTCTATTCATTAGTATATGTTAATAAACGATTTAATCGACTAATACTTGATCCTTTTTATATTCATAATCTTGATTTGACTGTTAAACACTCATTACTTCAACGAGTTTCTCCATTAGATATCGAAAAGATTGATACAATTTGTAAAAGAATCTTAGCAAGAATTCATCATCATATATACAAACTTACTGTTCCATTATATTTAATAGAATCTATTGTTAATATTGATTATCCTCAACTTCAATCTTTATCACTTGTCAATTTTGAAGAAGAAAAATTCTTAGAATATTTAACAGGTAATGTTCAATTTAATCATTAGAATATTTAAATTCTTCTAGATAAATTGATGATCGTCTCTTTTTTTTTTCTAGAAGAAACATTTATTTATCGTTTATTAACTAATCAAATTACACATCTTAATGTCGATATTTTTTTTGATAAAAAAGAGTCAAATATATTTTTATTAATATTATGTTTGGGCAAACATTTAACTGATCTAACATATTATCATCACTTCTCATCTGAACATCTAGGACATCCAACTTTTGATCTACCATTAACTCATATATGTTCAACTTTAACTAAACTAACCATTAATGTAACTACATTTGATGATTGTCTTTATCTTCTCGATGGAAATCTTCAATCTTTAACTGCATTGATTATTGATATAAATAAAATCTCCGATTCATTATCAATCTTAGATAACACGGTAATTATCAGTTCAATCATTGTATGTGAGAGAAAAAAAACAAGATTCGAATTATCTTTTTTATTTTTATAGAGAAAACTTCCCCAACTGAAACAATTTTCATTAACTTCGTATCATTTGACATATGTTTATGATGAGAAAGTTATTCTATTACTTCATCGAATGATAAATATCGAAGATTTAACATTATTTCTCAATGTAGTAAGATTCAATTCTACGTATATTGATGGTACTCATTTATATAACGATATTCTTGTTTTTATGCCACAACTTCAAAAATTTACCTTCAGTATTAATACTTCACTGAGTAACAGTCAGATTGTGTTTCCATCGAATGATGATATACAGTATAGTTTCATCGAAAAAGGAAATCGACATGTTGGTTCATATGTTCAGAATAGATTATCTATGCAGATCGGTCAATGTCATGTTTATTCGCTTCCATATCAATTTGACAGTTATCTCCTTCTGTGCAATTCTTTTCAAGGTGGAATATTCGATAAAGTTCGATCAATGAAAATGATTGATACATATCCATTTGAATATGAATTATTTGAAAAGATCTCTCAACATTTTCCTTTTCTCCAAAACTTAACTTTGGATAATTTCGATGGACAAAAGGATAAACAACATTCATCTACATTTATCACATTTCCACATCTTGAACAACTGGATATTACGTTTACGCATGTTGATTATGCTGAACAATTTCTCTTTGAAAAAAATACTCGTTTATCTCGTTTGCTGGAACTTCATATTGGTTATGATACATTAGCAATAGTCACAAATAATTTTACCAATGATTTAGCTCGTTTCAATTGTTCTCAAATAAAACGTCTTGTTACAAAAGAATTATATGTTCCTCCTAAAGATTTTCATTTATATTTTCCTTTATTGTAAATAGACTTTTTATATCGTATCTGTCAATAGAAAAAAAATATTTGAAAGACACCGAATGTATATATGTACGATGGCACGGTACTTTTTAGTTTAAATGAGTAATTATTAACAACCAAAAAGTATATGAAAAACAGCGAAAATCTATGATTTATTATGAAATAATCTGAATTAGATTAGAGATAGATGTATATGATGAATGCTAAAATATTTGAAATGGTTTTTATAAACATTTTATTGTCATGATGAAAAGAAAAATATATATTAGAGATATTGTTTTGAAAATAATAATTTCTGATAAAAATTTAATCAACGATTCGAGATCGAGAAATTCGAATCTAGAGGTTTTTTTGAAATTTTCAAGGTTGGATTTTTTTTTTGAAGAACCCTCCATAGTTTCTGATTTCCTCATCTTGAAGCTATTTTTTTTTCAAAATTCATAATTTCTCAACTAATAGACTCTGTCTAATGAAAATAAAATCAAACGCGTGTTATATCTGCATTTGGACTACCGGTGTACTAATTTTCATATTTGATCTTTGGATTTGTAACAGATAACCGGTCAAATTCTATACAGATAGAATGTGTCTTTTTTCCTTGATTAAAAATCATATGACCAAATATCAATCAATTATAGTCGAATTCCGTTTGATTTTTGTAGCCAGAATTTTTGATCAAACTTATTAATAAGATGTTAATATTCATTCTGATATTAGTGTCATTTGCACTAATCAAACTAATAGTGATGTGCATTGAAGAAAAAAAATTTTGTTTCTCATTTTTCTTTTTGTTTATTATGATTTGTGCTGTAGATCGATGAAATATTTGTCAAAAAAAAGTATCACTCGATATTATATTAATAGAAAAATGAATAATTGAACTATATAAAATAAGAGAATTAAAACGATGAAATAATACATAAATATTAGTAAATTTCTAATTATTTTGTTATCCATATATGAATATGAGATTAAGAATGAACTATGATATACAACCCTATGATCTTTACTATCTTCATAAGATAAATCAGGATAGAAAAGATTAGTTAAGTTTTCATGTTTGGTCGTGGTGTATTTTGCTAGGGACTTTTGCCGAGGTGCAAAATCTACCTGCGTGCACGATCGATCGATCAGGAAAAGTTTTGAAAACTTCTTAGCGTCTGGGGAAAATTTTTCAAAGAAAATTTCTTATTTATACCAAAAAATTTATCTATCCAAACCCATCCTGAGTTCTCTATGTATACATCAACAAGATCGGGTGTCGTTGTTTCTTTTGCTTTTCCATTAAACTTATCAATGTGTGATTTGTATCTTTCTGGAAGTCCCGTCTGTCTACTTTTTCTTACACCAGGCAACCCTGTAATTGGTGTTTCACCTCGTCAGAATATAATGGAATTACAGTGCAGGTAATCGTGAAGCGGAATATCTGTTACAGAAATATCTCTAACATAGCACCACTAGTTGTTATTTTTTCCTTTGTCCGTTGCCACATATAATTGTTACTGTCTGCATATGGGTATATGACGATAAAATAGCTAAGATTTCGTCAGAAGGCAGATGACTAGTCAGACGATTATTATTCACTCGTATATTCTTTCTTCTTTTTCATTTTGTTTTTCCTGGCTGGTTTGTTTAAATAGGTTACGTTAAGCGCAAGTAGAAAGTTTATCCGAAACAAACGATATTGAATAGCAGTATCCATTTTTTTCTTCGATATAATGGCAAATTTAGGTACTCAGAGTTGTTTCTTTTTTCATATGAATCTTAAAAGAGAAAATCTTCTTTTCTGATTGAACTTTATATTCCGAGAAACTTTTATTTTTGCACCCGATTCTGCATCGCGGTTTTTTATTACTTTTCTGGTGCAGACTGGTTATGCATAAAATTTGCCATTGTTTATTCTGTATGTCCTACTTAGGATCTATACATGTTATGAAATATCGGAGACAATTGTAACGTCCAAAAAGCTCTCATATCATACAGGACACAGCGAGCTTTTCGGAGTTTTCAGACATATAATTTCATTTATAAAAAATCTGCTTATATCATTGGATAGAGCTCATCGAGTTATACTTGGAACATGTGGAGCACGTTCCTAGACAATTCTCTGGTACTTTTAGTACATGAGGTCCAATATCCATATAGGATTTGAGTGGTGTTTTGGAATTTTTGAATGCATAGTTCAAGATATGAAAAACCTGGTTACATCATTGGATAGAGCTCATCGAGTTCTACTTGAAACATCAATAGAACACTTGGAACATGTTCCTGGATAAATCTTTGCTAATTTTAGTATATGAAGTCTCATATTTGTATTGGTTTGAATGGATATTTTGGGACTTTCAGACAAATGGTTGAAGGTATAGAAAAACTAATTATATTAATCGATAGAACTCATTGAATTCTACTTGAAACATGACTGGAACACTTAGAATATGTTCCTAGACGAATCTTTGCTAATTTTAGTCCGCGAGTTCCAATATTCATATAGGATTTGAGTGGTATGTTGGGGTTTTTGAATGCATAGTGTAAGATATGGAAAATCTAATTATATCATTAGATAGAAGTCATTGAGTTGTACTTGGAACATCTATAACATATTTCTGAACGAATCTTTGCTGCTTTTACTATATGAGTCCCCACAGTCATGTAGGATTTGAGCAGTATTTTAGGATTGTTGCACGCATAGTTTGTGATATAGAAAAACTGATGATATCATTAGGTAGAGCTCATCGAGTTCTACTTGGAACATTTGGAACATGTTCCTGACCGAGTCTTTGCTAATTTTACTCGAATCTTTTGCTAACTTCACCTACGTCAATTATGTTTATTATATCAGTAATAAAAGACCATCATTCAATAACAAAATAAATAGGTAATACTGACCATTGTAGATATTTTTATTTTTTTTATTTTTGTCGTTTAAAATAATCAAATCAAGCTTATATGTTTATATTTCAATACGTCTATTTACTAAATAATCAATGCCCATACAACATATATTTTCATACAAATATTTTCTTACATTTTTGTTCTTAAATAGATTATATTTCATGTTATTTCTTCTTTTTCCTTTATACATTATACTTAATAAATTGAAATATTAAATAAATTGAAATTATTGAAAAATTTGAATAGAAATAAATAAATTTATGTATAATGAGAGAAAAAGGCGAGAAGAATTATTTGATCACATGTATAAGATAAAAGTTTTGAAAAAAAAAAGACAATAAATTCTCATTTAATCGAAAGTCTATTTTTATTAATTTTTTTTTAAATATATATACAAATGATTTGGCATAGATCATTTACAAATAAAGAAACTTAATAACTTGAAACATTAACTATTATATTGATTGAGTTATATTTTTTTTTCTAACAAATAAAAAGTATTTTATAATTGTTTTACTTGTTTAATCGATACTATTCATTAGTCTTTTACATAGAAACAAAACTATTTGAATGTGCAAAAGAAAACACATGTTACTAGTCTTTATTGAATTCTTATTGATATATTGTTGATCATGATTAAGATGAAACGATGAAAAAAAAGATAGAAGGAATATACTGATTGTATAAATAGTATTATTAATTAATTTAAACTGATTTTCTACTAGACTTTATTGGGAATAGAACTGGAGAAAGTGAGAGAATATTGAATTGATTTTAGAAAAAAATATCTATAGACGAAATGTACGAAAATATGTTTATTTAAATGTTTAAAATAACTTTTTTTTTTATTTGATCTTAAATTATCAATAGTATATTCTCTTATAATATTAATTTATCTAATAATTTTAATTGACTAATTCAAAGAATTTCTTATTTTAACTAATATTTTTGTTTTTTCCATAATCACATCATTGAACCATCATCAGTATTATTATGATAATTATTTATTACAAGTCATATTTCTAATAAGGGTATGGCCAAATGTTACGGAATTTCATTTTTTTACATTGTAATAATATGTTTACCTCAACATCTGAATTTCCTCCTTTACCACGTCCAACTAAATCAACTATTAATGATTATAAGATGCTAGCAGGTGA